AGCGTTGTCTGTTTATTTTTGACTTTAAGTTTGAATTTCCTTTTGGTATCTTTCGCCTCTCTTTTAATGGTTTTTGTCTTTTTTTTTTAGCCATGGCGTTGTCTGTTTATTTTCGACTTTAAGTTTGAATTTCCGTTTGGTATCTTTCGCCTCTCTTTTAATGGTAAATACAAAAACAAAAATTCGAATTGAACGTGACCTGTAGTTTATGTTTTGCATCATTGTGTTAAGATCTTAGAAAATTATCTCACGGTACTTACAGTATCATCTGGGAAACAAAATAATCAAAGGTTTAAGGTGACTACGGGGAAAAACTCTTAAACAGTACGGGGAAAAACTCTTAACCAGTACGGGGAAAAACTCGTAAACAGTACGGGGAAAAACTCTTAAACAGTACGGGGAAAAACTCTTAAACAGTACGGGGAAAAACTCTTAAACAGTAAATGTCAAAACCATCAAAATCAAACTCGACATGTTATTTATGATCCAATGCAGTTTGCTGAAGTTTCAGGAGATTTCGTTAGTTAGTTTTTTCATTATCCTCCGAAAACCTAAGACCCAACGTTTAAGGTAACTAAGTTGCATAACTCTTGAACTTGACCTGTGTTAAAGTTTTAAAAGATTTCTTGAATTGTCAACCGAAAACAGAAGCGATCCTAATTTTAAAGGTAATTAAGGAGCACAACTATTGAACGGTAAATATCAAAACCATCAAACTCAAATTTGACCTGTATTTTATGGTCAATGACATTGTTTCAAATTTCAAAAGATTTGGCCAACCGGTACTTTTATTTATCATTCGAAATTTGAAAATGTGACGGACGGTTCGTGTTGCTCAGTCTTTAGTTTTCTATGTTGTGTTTTGTGTACTGTTGGAAGTTTGTCTTTTTCTTTTTAGCCATGGCGTTGTCCTTTATTTTTGACTTGTGAGTTTGAATGTCCCTTTGGTATCCTTCGCCTATCTTTCATTACTATATACCACCATCTTCGAGATGGAGACATAATAAAATAAGACTAAAATAATATCACATACTCATCTTTCTGAAATAGAACAATAAAGGCAAGGTTTTAGTTATATTAGTGACGTTATGATTGGTTTATCGCCGTCACATAGGGACCACCTATGGACCCGTATGGGGTCAGTAAAAAGTAAAATAACAAAAATACCAAACTCCAAGGAACATTCTTACCATGAATATAGTTGTGGTGGTCATTAAAGTCAATAAAGATGCCAAAATATGTCTGGGTCCTTCTGTTTCCCTTCAATTGCCCATTTGAAAAAAATCTGCTTTTCTTTTTTAAATTTATTTTGCTTTGAAATTTTTCTCTTTGGTCTCTTTGGAGATTCATTTATGAAAAATGTGTAACTATAAATGGATTAAAATATTTAACTAAAAACAATAGATGTACATCTGCTCTTAGCAACAATGTAAACATTCTGATCTGGATCTTTTAAATTCTTGCATATTGCATGTGATTTCAAAACGCTGCAATGAAACAATCTATGAGTAAGAGTTATCTTTCTTAGGTGTTCTGTACCCCCTTAAGTATTCTTGTCCATGCGCATCAGCCAAATGGAAGACTGAATAATAACATTTTTAACCTTTGTTTTTAAATTTATTAAAAATGCTTTTAATATTCATATCAATGTCTATTTGAGTTAGTGTCCTTTAAACAATGCCCATGGTGACACCGGCTTTTGGATAACTCTAATAATTGTTCATATGCATCGGATATGATGCTGCTTGTGGTGCATGGTCAACGAACACTGAACATTATGGTTTATATGGTTATATTATGAACGTATATTATATTCCATGTGTATTTGTATATTCTATAAAGTAAATGTTAAATGTACAAATCATTGCACTGAATTTGACCATAACGGGTCCTCTTTATCTTATCGTATCTAACGGTATTCAACATTTGCCAATACATTATTCAAAGATATTACATAATATAGTAAGCAATTCATAATGCACGTTTAAAGCTGCAATATTGAAAATAAATTTGAGACGATTGAAAGGATTAACTTTATCTGAAATAAAATCAGGGGAAGTGACCTGAAATAGTTTATAAGACAATAGTTTCAGCGTTAAAAGAGATATGCTAACTTCGCTTGTCAAAAAAACAAAACCCAAAATGATATGGCTTTCGTGTACACTATTCTGCACTGTTATGCAACCACAATAACGACTTTTTTAACACTGTTATATTCAAATATTGAATTGATATTAAAAAATTGTCTGAAATAAATATTGTTAAAATAGTGTATGTACTAGATAAAATAGTAAACCTACTAGATGTTTTCACAAAACATATGAAAGACAAATGTTTTGATATTTAAGCACAAATGATTAAATGGATGCAAAAAAGGATATATCTACAAAAGATAATATTATTTAGAGATTTCTGAATTAGGAAAACAACATTTCTCCATATAATAAGAAATGGAAATGAATATAACTTTGTGTTTCTCCTTTCAACAAGTTTTATATATGTGTTGACATTTTGGATTTATTCCTTCATATATATAAATCACATTTGCCTTAGGTATATGCGTGTGTTAAATAATATATTTTGCTTTACAAAGTTAAAACAAAATAAATATAAAGGAAATCTAAATAAGGTACTCACCTTTCATATATAACAACGATAAGGTTTCAAGTTTTTCATCTTGGGTTTATATGTCAGTTTTTGTTATAAGTGTAATCTCCCCTGAATATCCCTCTAAATGAAAATTTAAGCTTGAACAACAGAAAAGCATCGGCACCATATTATATCGAAGCTTAACTAGTGACATATATCTACACAAATTGTTAACGATGCTACCATTAACACCAAATTTCTTCAATAAAAAATCCTAAGATAGAGCTAAACACATCCAATGGAAAGATTCCTTTTTTTTATGGACATGCACATTTACATATACGGTGGGGTTAATAATTTTTTTAATACTCAACCCTTCCTCTATTTTTTACCCAGATCAGTATTTTAAGTTTAAAGCTGTGTTTTTTGTTTTTTTTTTGGAAATGTTCAGTCTTAGTATTAATATAAATAGAAAATAAGGGTAATATACAATTCGAAAATTTGTTGCTGAAGTAAAATTTAAAGTACTTATTGTTGTTAAAGAAGTCTTTTGATGGTTTTCTTTCGGAATTGGTAATTAAATATTACCAGCGCTTCTTGTAACCTAAATTACACCTACTGCTATTGAATATAACAGATTTGGCCTGCATTGATTAATTTTGGTAGATATTTTGTATGAATTATTTCCTTTCAAGGAAGGAGGTAAGATACGAGTTATTATTTGACACCTGAAATTGCAAACTCAGTCAAATTACTCAAGCCTTTCAAATCTATGTTTGTTTTATTTATAAATGGACTGGTTGATATAATCTTGACATTGTAACACAGAAAGGTTACTTGTAAGGTTACGGTAATGTCATAAAAATGTTGAAATTGACATATTTAACCTAGAATGACCATTTTACACATAGTTTTTAGACCAAATACATGTAGATGTAAGGAACAGTTTTACAACCCAAAAAAATAAATAAAACACATTAACATCTGCGTAAAATACATCTTACAGCAAATTAATATTCTTTTTGGGGTAAAGCTGTAACTCACATCTAAAAATAAATGATAAGATCTCAAAAGGAGGCTATTTTGGCAGTTTATGCGGTTGAATTACCACACAGTCGATATCTCTGCTTGGGGGCTGTTCGTCCACAAAGGTATCACTACCCAATCAGTCAGTACTGCAGTACATGCATAAAAAAATATTTTGGCCTCGAACATCTCTGAAGATTTTTTAATTGTCAACATGCGCATCTTGTTACCCGTAAATGTAATCCTATTTGCTAGATTGGCTAGGAAAGTAAGTAAACACTTCTTCTTTGATGTTTTGTTTCAAAATTATGTTTGATCATAACCCTCATATTGGAACATCAAAATTGGTATTCAGATTTATCAATGTTATGCCAATTAAATTTCACTTCGAGTGTCTGTACATCATAAGTGACAATAAAGAAAATTAAAGACTGAAGAATAAATGCAATAAATAGCTTCCCTTGGTTCTTTATTTGACGAGTTGCTTTGAAATCGGCTAAGGAATGATGAATACATTCGTGCGTCCTGACGGGTCGTCATAAAATCGTCAGTGGCGATCGAATTAAAAAGTTGAAAACCAAATCAAATACGAAGTTGAAGAGCATTCAAAATAAAAAAAAAATGGAACACGTCTGCTAAATACCTGTTTAATGCTAAATTCCGCTATGGCCAGCTATGCCTGGGGTGGAAATTCATTAGTGTTTAGAATGATTCGACTCTTTGTTAACTGTAGGTTTGCAGAAAATTGATGATCAACGTGCTCACTACTGGGCTTGATATACCATTGGGACGAAAGGTCCATCGACAGCTGCAATAACTAAGTGGTTGTATAAAGTCAAAAAATGAAAGATGGCTTAAAATTTGGTTCGCCACACGTGCGTTTCGTTTACATAAGACCCATCATTGTCACTCAAATCAAAACAGTTGGAAGTCCAAATCAAATAAGAAGCTGAAGAGAACTGAAAGTAAAATGATTTAAAAAGTTATGCCATTTTAAACTGGATTTTCCTTGTTTCTCCGACAAACGCGTGACATTTAGGAGTAACTATAGACTTGTTGGACTCGAAGAAGTAATAATTTGTCTAGGTAGGGTGATATGTTTTTCTGTAGACTATAAAATGTAAAGCTATCACGTTAAAATCAGCACAAAGCAGGGTATACTCATATTTAATTATCATGTTAACGTCCATGTGCATGTAATATTAGTTGCTGGACATCTTACAGATAGAAAATTCTCCGATTATCAAATCAATATTATTTTGCTCTTTGAACAAAATGGTTCAGGATTTGGAATTCAAGATCGCAGGGACAAATCAAATGCAACACAGCAGCTAAATCACAAGAATTGAAATATATGATCGTAGCAAAGGATCAGATATTGTCCATGAGATTCGTTTTTTTTTATTACCAAAAAGTAAACAAATTTGATATCAATACTTGTATGAACTGACTATAAAACTTAGTAGAAATCGTATAAACAAAAGTCTATTCAATTTGTGACAAAGGAACAGAGCACATTCATTTCTATTGAAACCACGATACTACTTTCATTTTTCTACACCAGACATCCTGTAACAATTATGGGTGTTAAACTCAGACTTTTAAATCGGATTTTTGAACCAATAATCTATTGTAAAACATTCTATGTGTCTCCATTGTCACTTCCAAGGAACTTAATCCCTTTTGGTAACATGGTTTTACTCATCATTGGCATACTATTAAAGTTTATATCATCCAGGTCTGATGATAAAGCGTTTTTCACACGTTCCGAAATCTTATCTCTTATGTCATGAAGTCGATTGTTTTTACTTCTTATTTCATTATGATCGTCCCTGATGTTATCCCATAGATCATTTTCATCACTTTCGATATATAAGTTATCTTTGTCATTATCATCTGACCTATCAGACCAGTTATCGTCATTGAATGTACTTTTATTATATCTGCCTACTTTCCTATATGTCCTTTCATTTTGTTCGCTTGTCCAATCACCAAAAACGTCATCACTGTATCCTTTCTTGGAAGTGAAAAATCTGATATTTGGCTTTCGAATGTTACCATTGCTGTGTTCGAACCTTTCGTCTGACCAATCATCAAACCAATCACTACTATCACTTTGATAATTAATATTTCTTTTTAGTCCATTGTTTGTCCTTGAGATCCGATGGTTATATGAACTATCCCTCTCTTCATCAGAAAATTCTGAATCCCAGTCATCCTGATCATGGAATGTTCCTTTTTTCCCGTTATTTGACAATATTGGTCTGATTTTGAGTTTCCTCTGATAATCTATTTCCTCTGAAGATCTATCCGAATCCCAGTCGTCATCCCAATCATCGGCTGTTCCTTTCTTCACGGTATTTGACCATATTTTTCTTGTTTGCAGTTTCCTCCGATAATCTATTTCCTCTGAAGATATATCTGAATCCCAGTCATCCCAATCATCGACTGCTCCTTTCTTCCCGTTATTTGACCATATTTTTCTGATTTTGAGTTTTCTCCGATAATCTATTTCCTCTGAAGATCTATCTGAATCCCAGTCGTCAGACCAATCATCGACTGCTCCTTTCTTCCCTTTATTTGACCATAGCTTTCTAATTTTGAGTTTCCCCCGGTTATCTTTTTCCTCTGATGATATATCTGAATCCCAATCAATCCAATCATCTCTATCAGTCCAACTACCACGCATATCATAATTTTTTTCTGATTTTTCTTTAGTCTGAAATTCATCAGAATCCCATTCCCAACTGTCCCAGTCGGAATGATCTCTACGAATTTCATTTTCTCGATTATGACTATGCTCATCAGAACTTTCCCAAGAATCCCAATCATCAAAGTCGTGTCTTCTTTTGTTATTTATTGTGGCTCTCGGTTCACTAATTTGTGTAGATTGTGAGAAAGAGTTATCTAACCCTAAATCATTTTGAGATGGCATGACCATCCCCTCGACAGGATTAGACCCTGCAAGATGTGATGTTTCTAATAGTTTTATCTTTAAAGAATTCTTTCCCGGTGTAAGTATCTTATTTTCTGGCAAGCCCATTCGACCAATACTTCCTTTTCCCACAGATTCTGTGTTGGTTCCTTTCCTAACGTGTGAGCCATCACTTGATCGTTTTACTGGATCTGTTAGATGTAATAAAAAAGAAGATACAATGTGTGTAGTAAAGTTAGGGTTAGAGTGAGGTTCCACCAGATTTACGCTCCGGAGTATCAAATATCTGTTGATTTACAAAAAATGGAATATCAAAATTATGGACCTTAACTTAAAGAGGTTGGGCGAACAATAAAGAGAGGGTCAAACAAATACAAATAATTCAATTGACAGGACAGGAGAATATATCAAATTACAGTATGGGATCAACAGTTATTGCTTCATGTTGACGTAATTTACGATCTTGCGAGATACTTTATTTGGCAAAACTTTTAGGAATATTTGGTCCTCAATGCTCTTCAACTTCGTACGTTATTTGGCTCTTTTAACATTTTTGATTCAAGCGTCACTGATGAGTCTTTTGTAGACGAAACGCGCGTCTGGCGTAAATATAAAATTTCAATCCTGGTATCTATGATGAGTTTATTTGTAAACAGAAAGTTACACAGTATCCTCTTTGTAAACAGAAAGTTACACAGTGTCCTCTTTGTAAACAGAAAGTTATACAGTGTTCTCTTTGTAAACAGAAAGTTACACAGTGTCCTCTTTGATTACAAATTGTACCATTAACTTATCATAGATACAAGGCGTGATATGATAGTTCATAACCCACTGAATTAAACAGTATATGGTTGCTAGGTACTTTTGTCATTTAGAAAGGAGTGTCCTTTCTTTGGTTGAAATAGTGTCATGAAGTGTCAGGTTTTACTGAATAAAAAAAAGTAATTGGTTTTAAGTACTTTGTCAAGTTGAAGTAACTTTTGAAACCGGAAATACCTTTTCGGTTGGATATTATATCTGCTGATACCGACATTTTCCTTATTCTCGAAAGTTAAGCTATTTATAAGAATATAAATGTAGAATACAGTCCCTCTCAAACCCATTTCAAACAAAAAAAACCAAGGTCTGATTTATGACAAAATAATTAACGAAAAAACAAATATGACAGACGGCAACCAACGATATTTCGTTTTTTTTTTTTTATCCAACGGCATAAATAACCAGAAGACATGTATATATATTTTGGACACGTAATTAAAAGGACAGAAGAAAAAATATTGAATAAATATTGTGTTTGTTGTATTTAAAAATTTCGATGGAACAACAGTAAACACAGGAAATTTAATTCGCACCCTTCCACACTCGAAACAACATGTCACAATGTTCTTTTCAAACAAATAAAATTTCTATTGTGTTTTTTAATATTTCTTTTAAACCATTTGCAATTTATGCAATTCACAAAAAAACAATGTCGTAGTTGTGTTTTATTGACTCTAACATCATTATGTAGAAAATGTCTTTCATAATTTTTTTCTGTATAAATTGGAATATTATGATATATACTAAAGTTGATACCGTTGAATGTTATTATAATGATTACAAAACATGTATTTTTTATAAGAATCCTTAATTTTGATTAGCAGACAATAATTCCGAGGCACTCGTATTTTATTTCAGCCATGACTGCACGTGCTTTCCGTGACAATGTTGAAATAATGCATTGAAAAACAAAGGAAGATTTTGATATAACTCATATTTTCATGGGTGTAGCTTTAAAATGTAATTTATAAGAATTGAATGCTTCTTTTTATAATGTAATAGGGTTATAAGGACGTTGATCGTGTGCACATTTTTCATAGTAGCGCGGAATACAAAATATGCCTTGGTCAACGCATTTACACCTTAATAATAATTGTAAAAAGAAGCATTCTATTGTTAAATGAATTAACAAATGAATCATTTTGCCAATAGATTAAGCATTTCACAGCTTTTAAAGAAGGTTTGAACCAGCATGTGAAGCTAGATTATATTACTGCTATAGCTATTTACAGAATAACTACGTGGACAGATGAAGGAGTCTTACAAACAGATTTGAAGTGTTTAATGGAGATTGGCTATTTAGTTAAACGGGTTTTACCAAGACTTAAGTCAGGAATCTGATGTTCAGTAGTTGTCGTTTGTTGATGTGGTTCATAAGTGTTTCTCGTTTCTCGTTTTTTATATAGATTAGACCGTTGGTTTTCCCGTTTGAATGGTTTTACACTAGTAATTTTTAGGGCCCTTTATAGCTTGCTGTTCGGTGTGAGCCAAGGCTCCGTGTTGAAGACCGTACTTTGACCTTTAATGGTTTACTTTTATAAATTTTGACTTGGATGGAGAGTTGTCTCATTGGCACTCATACCACATCTTCTTATATCTATTTACAATAATTTGAATGATTGCAAGGGAACCCATTTGACTGCATTATTTTAATTAAAAGAGATTTGATCGAATTTGAAACTAGTGTGCAAAGATATGTCAAGCTTTTTCAAATTCGTTTACTTTTTTTTCAAACAGCGGGTGATAAATATAAATTTTGACAACAAGAGAGGAAACGGGTTCGCTAAACAGTTTGAGTTTTAAAATACGTATTTACTATTTGATAGCATATACCACGCAAGAACAATTTATAAAGGTCTTTAAATGGGCAATAATATTAGGGTAACGAGGAACACTTTAATCAAATACAATTATAATGAGGGATTGATTGGTTAAAATTTTACACGTTTTGATGATTGTTTTAATCTTAAAACACTGATCAAGAGACTTGTCAATATGGTTTTATAAATGAAATATTGTGAATAATAAATATTTTATACTTACATGCAACTGATATGCAAAACCAAGCGAATAAGAGCACAAAAACTGCCTGCTCCCCCATGTTTGATGAAGTTTCACAATGTTATCTTATTTCTTCTTCTAATTAATCTTACAAGTCCGCATCAAATGATATTTATGTTGTATTTATTTATATCTTATGTATAAAATATGACAAAATATTTTATCCTGACAGCAAATGAACAAACAGGCGGACATACTTTTGATCATCAGACCATACCTTTATTTGAAACCCATTGTTGTATCAACATCACGAGCTGCAGGTACATGAATTTCCTACCACGACAATAATCTATTGTATATGTCATGCTATGTCAATCTACATGCAACAATACATTATGTACCGCGTTACAACGCTAAGAAGCCAACGAGGAAAGGCATAACTCCACTAACAAAATTTCTATTTTTTTTATTCTAGTTTACCGAGTTGTTTAGGGTGACGGGCACAGTGACGGATGTGTTCACACGATGGCCCAGCAGCGGGAATGATTATTTACCATATAAGAAAACAACCCGGATTTTTCTCAATTGAAAACAAAAACAAATATAATAAACTTCAAAAAAACAATAACTGAATGAAATATTTTAATGCGAAAATAAAAAAAAATTACAAAGACTGTGAAGAAATTATCCACGCTAACTTAAGCTATTGTTTTTATAATAAAATATAAATAGTTTTAAAAAAGACATGTACATACATTTTGTACTCCACACGTAATTTGTCATATTCATGGCATTGGGTGATACATTCTTTTTCATTTTTATTCACGTTCTTATTGTGAGATGTGTACATATAAATACTAATAAAAATATTTTGTTCCTGGAAGGTCATAACATAAGAATATGTGGTAGGATTGCCAATGAGACAACTATCCATCCGAGACTAAAGGACTACTGACGTCATAATGTTCAAAACTCATACCGTATACAATTTTAATACACGGTTATAAATGAAACGACATACAACAAATGTAATAATATAAAGCTACATTTAATAAATATCTATCCGTAGTTCATTTCGTTTTCTTTTAGTTCAAAGATAAAGCTAAGGAGCGAAATATTACTTTATGAGAAAATGATAGAAACGTTTAAACTTCATGATCATTGGAGCCAGTGATGCTTACGTGTAGTTCCGGACGTTGCGCACGATGTTGGTACTAATTCCATTTTCCTGTAAATTAGTGTGTACACAGAATATAGCCTTTTGAGTTTCATCGAAGGATAGGGACGGGAGTATTGGAAAGATCATGTATTCTACCTGAAGTGTCGCTTTTTTCCTTTAAAGATTTTGCCCTGAATTTCCCCCAGACCCAAGCCTTTTCTAGAATAATTGTTGATTATCATAACTCCTATAACTAAATGACATATATCGTACATTGAAGCCTTGTTATATATATATAACGAAAAAGAAATGTTGAGATGTGGAATGTTGAGTGAACTATACTTGGTGGGTTTTGACTGACTGTTAAGACCTTGCATGGTCGGCTAGGTGCCCTAAGGCGTTTGGTGAGCATTTAAATATGTTTGTTGTTGTCGTCAAGCTAGAAAAACGCGGCCATTATGGTTTTGCTGGATCGATTTGGATTGTTGACTATTTTGGTTTGATGTTTAATGCCTTCTCAACTACATGTATGTTGAGTAACGACGAATGGGGTTTTAAACGACATTGACTACCCATGAGAGTCTTGCACGGTCGGAAATGTTGAGTGACAGGACATTATAAATATATCTGAAAGGTGAATTTAGGTAGATAGGGGGTCTTATTCTGATCATTCCTCTGTCAACGTATATTTGTTCCGCCTAACAGAAGTGCCACTGGAAACTTTGTTATAAACAATGTCATAATATATGTTCCTGTTGGAACAAATATTCTATACCATATATTCCGTTAGGAACATTTACTGTAATATTTATTCCAGTGGAAATAATATTCCAGAATATTGTTTCCATTTGGGACTTATCTTATGAAGGAACTTCTATTCCGTGACACCTCCTTGGCATTTTGTAAAAGTCCTTTTTTTTGTTTAATAAAAGTTTACCAAGTATCATTTAATATACAACAGAAACATCTAAAACTTGAAATTTAAAGATTAAACTATCAAAAAATTAAGTATTGTTAAGTGTATTTAAAATTTTCAGAAAAAAATCTTTTAAAGATCAAGGGCAGATAAATATATTTAATTTGATAGGGCAATTTGTGTTATTTTTTTTAATTTTTTTTTATTATTTTTGAAGAAAAATAAGGCGCCCCCTATTCTATTCGACATTTCGGAAATACTTATGAAAAGCAATTCTCTCATTGAAATTTAACCAATTTTATCGTTTAATGTTTCCTCAATAAGGAAACATTAAGTTTCTCCTATATAACCCATATAAAATAACTGCGATTTCGTTGATTTCAATGCTTTTTAACGTAAATTCAAGGTCCGTGACCCCTAGCTTTTTTTTTTAAATTGGAAAGTACATTGACATAGAAGTCTTTTTCAGAAAATTAAGAAAATCTATCGTCGATCATTTAGACATCCCATCTACCTTATAACATATTAAGATACTGTTTTTCTTTAAACAGGTTCTCTATGAATTCTACTTCATATGATAACAAAAAAAAACCAAGAAGGTCAGAAGTACATGAACACAATTAGTACTTATTGAAATACCGACTGTCTGTTGAATCAACCAAACTCAGCAAATATTGTGTCGATCAAAAAGTCCAGCATTGTAATGAATCATCTTAAAACTGTTTCAACACAACGTATAAATGAAGCGATGTTATATGTTTGTTAATGAGACAGCTTGCCACCAGAAATCAAAGAAAGAAGATGTAAACAAATAATGGTCATCGAACGGTTTTCAAAAACCAGCAAACCACTACCATATAGTAAGCTATAAATGACCCCGGCACAACAAAATGTGAAACGATTTAAAGGCAAAAAGCCGACGGCTTGATTTTTCCATGAAAGTAAAATTTGGTCGACCTGAACAAAGAGCAGGGAAACGTACACTACCTGGATAAAAAGAGGGTATGCTGTATAGGTGCAGTAATTTTGCCTTGCATCAGGCTACATGCACAGACCATAAAGCATTGTTGCAAGTTTCTTTAAAGTTTAGAGAGTAAAAACATCTCTGTAAATGAGACAGCGTATTTAACGTCCCGTTTCCGATCGGATGTGTTTTCGTATTCATAAAACCCGCACAGCCAAACGGACGGCCCTTTATATCATAGCTTCTACTATCGGTTGACCGTATTCCATGCCCTAATAAAACCTTTGTCAAATGTGAAAAAAAAAATAGAAAATAATTGAGGAACATTTTGCATTGTCTGTTGTAGAATTTAATTTGAAATATTATGACACATTACAAATTCGTAATATTTAGTTTGAACGACACGTACTAACACGATAAATGCTCTAGGTACCTCGAGGATCAAAATACACATGTTGCAGAAATAACTACAAAATGCAATACAAAAAAAAAAAAAAAAAACAATTGCAAGAAACTTTCGAGGGCGTGAAACAATTAAAGTAAGTGCCTGATCCAGATGCCGCGCACACGTAATTTTGCCAGATACGCCCAAGACCTTAAGTTGCAAAGGAGATGCTAAATTTGTAAAGTACTAAAGAGCATTGAAACCTAAAGGTGTCCGATGGAGTTTCAGCCTAAACATGATTGCATAATTAATAAAATGAATTATCATATTATTTAAACCATGTCAGAACTAAATTACTGGCTAATGTGTGGATATTTTCCACAAAGACCAATCATTTTTGTCGAGCCTTCGACTTTAGTCGAAAAAGCGAGACATAGCGATCCTACATTCCGTCGGCGTCGTCGTCGTCGTCGTCGTCGGCGGCGGCGTCCACAAATATTCACTCTGTGGTTAAAGTTTTTGAAATTTTAATAACTTTCTTAAACTATCCTGGATTTCTACAAAATTAGACAGAAGCTTGTTTATGATCATAAGATAGTATCCAGAAGTAAATTTTGTAAAAATAAAATTCCATTTTTCCGTATTTTACTTATAAATGGACTTAGTTTTTCTGCCTGGAAATATTACATTCACTCTGTGGTTAAAGTTTTTAAAATTTTAATAACTTTCTTAAACTATCCTGGGTTTGTACCAAACTTGGACAGAAGCTTGTTTATGATCATAAGATAGTATCTAGAAGTAAATTTTGTAAAAAAACAAATTCATTTTTTCTTTATTTTACTTTTAAATGGACTTAGATTTTCTGCCAGGAAACAACACATTCACTCTGTGGTTAAAGTTTTTAAAATTTAAATAACTTTCTTATACTATTTTGGATTTGTACCAAACTTGGACAGAAGCTTGTTTATGATCAAAAGCTAGTATCTAGAAGGAAATTTTGTAAAAAAAATAAATCCATTTTTTCCGCATTTTACTTTTAAATGGACTTAGATTTTCTGCCAGGAAACAACATATTCACTCTGTGGTTAAAGTTTTTAAAATTTTAATAACTTTCTTATACTATTTTGGATTTGTACCAAACTTGGACAGAAGCTTGTTTATGATCAAATGCTAGTATCTAGAAGGAAATTTTGTTTTCTTCCAGTTAACATTACATTCAGTCTGCAGTTAAAAGTTTTTAAACATTTATTAGATTCATAAACTATCCTGGATTTTTACCAAACTTGGACAGAAGCTTCTTACAATCAAAAGATATTATCAAGGGGAATATTTTTATTGATTTACTTCCTCATTTTTGTTGAGCCTGCGATTAACAGAAAAAGTAGGCGTGACACTGGGTTCCGCGGAACCCTTACGAATTTTTAATATAAACGAATTTTTAATATAAACAAACGGTTCAAAGTTATATAAGTACATACGATCAGTAAATAAACAGTTCGTTGAAATTGAAAATGAATAAAAGCAAATGTGTGGTATATGTCAATAGGGGCAGCAACACAACAATACAAAAACAAACAGAGGGCGACATTCAGTCTTCACCAAAAAGTGTATATACAATATGTCTAGCTCCTACTAAATCGTCATAAATTAATTACAATAGCAAAGATCTGCCACATATGTTTAACTGAAAATAAGAAGGATGAGATAATTACTAATGAGACAATTGTCTACGAGATACCAGAGACAATTGTCTACGAGAGACCAGAGACAATTGTCTACGAGAGACCAGAGACAATTGTCTACGAGAGACCAGAAGAATTTGTTATTTCTTTGTTAAGATTACGTTTGATTCAAGCTTTGGATTAATAAAATTGAGAATGGAAACGGGGAATGTGTCAAAGAGACAACTCAAACAAAGAGCAGAAAACAGTTCAAGGCCACCAATGGGCCTTCAACACAGCGAGAAAATCCAGCACACAGAGGCAGGCTTTAGCTGGCCCCGTAAACAAAAAATTATACTGGTTCAGAGAAAATGATGATGATTAGTTGTCTCATTGGAAATCATACCACATCTCTGGTGGATAGTTGTCTCATTGGCTATCATAACACATCTCTGATGGATATTTGTATCATTGGCAATCATACCACATTTCTGGTGGATAGTTGTCTCATTGGCAATCATACCACATCTCTGGTGGATAGTTGTCTCATTAGCAATCATACCACATTTCTGGTGGATTGTTGTCTCATTGGCTATCATAACACATCTCTGATGGATATTTGTATCATTGGCAATCATACCACATCTCTGGTGGATAGTTGTCTCATTGGCAATCATACCACATTTCTGGTGGATTGTTGTATCATTAGCAGTCATACCACATTTCTGGTGGATTGTTGTCCCATTGGCAATCATACCACATCTCTGGTGGATAGTTGTCTCATTGGCTATCATAACACATCTCTGATGGATATTTGTATCATTGGCAATCATACCACATCTCTGGTGGATAGTTGTATCATTGGCAATCATACCACATCTCTGGTGGATAGTTGTCTCATTGACGAGAGGAAAATAATTATTTTAACTTAACCAGTTTAAAAAACCTACTCAACATAATGAGTTATGAGGAACGAAATTGAATACAAACAATATTTTTCTACAGGTGTCTGTAAAAAGATACGTACTAAATACTACACTTCCTAGTGCAAACAGACTTTAAGATACTGACTGTTGAAAACGTCTTAAAAATTAAAAAAAAAACTATTTCTTTCTGCAAATCTCCTCTGGGTAATAATCATTAAATTCCATTATATATTCTTATATATCTGTTCCCGAACCATCCGTTGAGAAACATTCCAGCGACTGTTCTGTTCAATCAAATTTGATTTTAATTTTTCTAATTCAATCCGGTTTAAGATAAATGGTTGTGCTTAGGTATCATTTTGACGTGAAATGACCGTCACTTTATTTCAACTTAAAACAAAATAGCAATGGGGCTGTGAATTAGTGGTGTTATTCCTTATGTACAATTTTACAAAATTAACTGGTTCTATCAAACAGTCGTAGCACTACATAGTTGTAACTTCCAATAACTCAGTTTCGATCGAATCTGATATCTTGTTTAATGTTGAAGAAAGATAAAATGTACACAATCTCTTAATTTGAATTCATTGAACTAAACCAACTTTACCGTTTGAGAAATCATGGAATCCAGAGAAACATACACAAACGAGGGAAATCAAAGGAAGTCTGAAAAATACACAGTTAAACAAAGCAAATATGTCTCGTAGGATTTCACGCCATATCCGTTCGGAACATTGCACTGGGCTTTTTCCATTAAATCATTAGAGAAACATATTCTACCGCGTTACCCCTTTGACTACAATATTTATCTTCTCTCGATAGTTAAAATTTTGAAGTAAAATCTAATATAAATCAAGGGATACTATTGATTAATTGCAATTTAATTTGTCGAAGATTACTTCCAATAAAGAAAATAGTTGGCAATGAGAGACAAATAAATTGATAGTTGAAAAAAAAACCCAAATAATAGACCATGAAGACGTTTAAGAAAGTTTATTCTACTATTCAGTAAATATCAAACCTGATAAGGCAATACCAAATATGTATTTATTTTACTTGAATTTCGATATTACAATGATTTTGCACAATCTTGTAACAAAAAATATATTTTATCCAAAGTGCATACTACGTTACATGAAAAACTCCTCGAGCTTGTTTTGTATTAAGTTAAAAATAATTCCAGACGTCTTAATTTAGATTGTGTAGATGAAATCGTTATACATGTATACATTTTCTAATTTCTATGGTATTTACACACATTTGTCAAAAATATACACAACACACCATCCTTCTGACATTTTACAACACTTTCATCTATGCCCCGAAGCAAATGTAACCATTTATTAATAAATAATAAAAAATGTGTGTTATAAGAAATGTGTAATCGTTCGTCATATTTTTTTATTTATCATGCAAAAAATCACTCAAAAGAAGAATAAAAAAAATATAGCTTTTCGTACATTTCTTGTGTAAAGAAGATATAATCCTTTCTTTCTATAATTTTCCTTTGGTCGAACATATTTCGATTCATTATCTATTTAGCCGTCGGGCATTTAATTATTGTTTTTTATTTAAAAAACAAGACCTGACACCTAGAAATGAAAATCTGGTTTAGCTATTAAACCAAATAGGTAGTTTCATAACAAGCTCGTCGTCATACTATATTTTCAAAATAAGTGTTTTATTTTTGGGTTATCGTCGCCATTGTCTAAATATTTTTGTTAAATAACAAGACTTGACACTTTGAAATGAAAATTTGTTTTAGCTATCAAACCGAATAGGTAGTTTCATATCAAGCAAGCTTTACGTTATTTAATATGTGGTTCATTTTACGGTTATCACCGCCATAGTCTAAATAATCGTTGAAGTGTTTGACATCAATATACTTTATTCCAATTTATACAGTATTTTTTGTTTTCGGAACTGTTTTCAATTTACTTTGGTAATCCCAACCATCACTTTCCCAAGAATCACTCTCCCAGTCATAATTGACACCACGTTCGAACTTATAAGACTTATAATGTTTTCTTTTGTCGTTGTTTTCGCTACTATCTTCCCAGCTATCGCTGTATAAACTATCACCATCGTAAAAATTTCGACTATTCTTCAAATTAAATTTATGTTTTGGTTTGTAAAACCCTCTTTGATCACTCTCTGTATCTTCCCAAAATGAACTAGAAGAATCGTCCCAGCCGTCAATATCATCGTTAATTTTCCCCCGTTTATGAAGTTTAGATTGTTTATCATGATTATCAATTATATAGTTGTAACCCTCATCGAAATCATCGTACTGATTACTATCGCTAGAATATAGCCTTCTGTTCTTTCTGTGTGGATTTCTTACCATAATGACCTTCCGGTCACCATGAGTGTTGTCCCTGTCCTCAAATGAATCCCAAAACGAATCATCGCTACTTGTATCATAGTTTACTCTTTTTCTAATGTTATTTTTATGTTTGCGAAGATTATCGGTTTTCGTGTTTTCTTTGGAATATATGTTGCTATCCCAATCGCGTCTATCACTTTCACTATCGCTAGAATATAGACGTCTGTTTTTTCTATGTTGTTTTCTTACCACAATGAGCTTCCGGTCAGGATAAGTTCTGTCCCTGTTCTCAAATGAATCCCAAAACGAATCATCGCTACTTGTATCGTAATTTACTCTTTTTCTAATTTGATATTTATGTTTGCCAAGCTTATCGGTGTTTTCTTTGGTATATATGTCGCTATCCCAATCACGGCTATCACTTTCTTCGGACCATTCTCGGTTATAAAACGGCCGTTGGTGTTTAATAAACCTATTTTTGGTTTTAAATTTCCTTGCCTTTAATACTGACTGAAAATTTCCCTCAGAAGAATCACTACCCCACCATTCTGAATCTTCATACCTTGCATTGTTTCTGTTTCTAATTTCATCGAGTTTCCCATTTTGGTTAGGAAACTGTTGTTCAACATTTTGGTTAGGCAACTGTTGTTCACCATTTCGATCAGGAAACTGTCCCTCAGTAGAATCAATACCCCACCATTCTGAATCTTTGTACCTTGCATTGTTTCTGTTTCTAATTTCATCGAGTTTTCCATTTTGGTTAGGAAACTGTTGTTCACCATTTCGATCAGGAAACTGTTGTTCACCATTTCGATCAGGAAACTGTTGTTCACCATTTTGATCAGGAAACTGTTGTTCACCATTTTGGATAGGAAACTGTTGTTCACCATTTTGGCCAGGAAACTGTTGTTCACCATTTTGGTTAGGAAACTGTTGTTCACCATTTTGGATAGGAAACAGTTGTTCACCATTTTGGTTAGGAAACTGTTGTCCACCATTTTGGTTAGGAAACTGTTGTCCACCATTTTGGTTAGGAAACTGTTGTTCGCCGTTACTATCAGGAAACTGTTGTTCACCATTTTGGTTAGGAAACTGTTGCCCACCATTTTGGTCAGGAAACTGTTGTTCACCATTTTGGTTAGGAAACTGTTGTTCACCATTTTGGCTAGGTATCTGTTGTTCACCATTTTGAGTAGGAAACTGTGGTTCACCATTTCGGTCAGGCATCTGTTGCCCACCATTTCGATCAGGAAATTGTTCAGGAAACTGTTGTTCACCATTTCTGTTTGGCATTTGACCGCTAAGATCTGTGCCAACGAGTGTATCAGGTTGATTGAAACCAAATTGTGGCCCGTTTTGGTCAGTTCCAAAATGTGTACTACTTTGATCATGACTGAATTGTGCCCTGTTCTGACCAGTGTCGACCTGGTTGAGACTTTGAGGATCAGTGGCTAAAATAATAATAATAATAATAATAAAAGATAAATTAATTTAACGAACAATTATTTATGGACGTTTTTTCTCCTTTTCTATCATATCTATACATGAATTGTGGTTGGTCTGTGGTTGGTTTTGTTTGTTGGACCAAACAACCAAGTAACATTTGATACATATAGTTTGTTGGTTGGTTTGTATGGATAGTCGATATGTGTGTTGGTTGGTTGGTTTGTATGGATAGTTGATATATGTGTTGGTTTGTATGGATAGTTGATATGTATGTTGGTTGGTTGGTTTGTATGGATAGTTGATATGTATGTTGGTTGGTTGGTTTGTATGGATAGTCGATATGTGTGTTGGTTGGTTGTTTTGTATGGATAGTTGATATATGTGTAGGTTTATATGGATAGTTGATATGTATGTTGGTTGGTTGGTTTGTATGGATAGTTGATATGTTTGTTGGTTGGTTGGTTTGTATGGATAGTTGATATGTGTGTTGGTTGGTTGGTTTGTATGTTAAATGAATGAATGATTGATTTATTAATTGATTGATATATTAAAAAAAATTTTGAAACAAACAAGTGACATTTGATTCATATAATATATTGATCGGTTTGGACAGTTCATAGGTGTGTCTGTTGGCTGGTTGTTTTGGTGTTGAATGAATGATTGATTGATTAATTGGTTGATGGATTGAAATTTTGCATACTGTCAACTTTGACGAATTTCACATTCATTAATCGATGAATGCCTTGGTTGGTTGTGTTGATTGATTGATAGATTAATTGACTGACTGACTAACTTGTCAAGTGTCATTCCGTAGAAACGGAAAGTTCGTTTTGATTAATAGATTGTTAATGTGACGTCCAGTAACAAGTATGTCACACACATTCTTTAAAGTGTCCCCTTCTTCTCCTGTAAAGAAGCAAATGGGTATCAGTTACTAAAGTTTTTAAGAAAAGACACCCTGGATGCCCTGTTCAGGTCTGTGCAACATGTTTATTTGTATCCAAATAACAATATTTCTAATATAAGGATTTAAACATCCTTTAAACTATCTTTATAATTTCCTTTATACATTTCCTTTTTTCTTCTAAGGACACCGGAATTCATGCTTTATTTGTTTATTGTGAGTGCATTTTGTTTTAATTTGTACGGAAATCGGAAGTAAATCTTAAGTCTTTTAAAAGTTGTATTTAGTTTTATTTGAATCTGGAAAACCCTTGTTTTATTTAAATGAGTTGGCGCTGAAGATGATCGTGATGTCACGATGCAAATGTACTCTCTGATATGGTTTGTTTTCTCTCTTTGCAGATGGGAATGTCGTCGACACCAGACACGCGTATATAAATAGTGCTTAAGGATTTAATTAATAGTTTTATTTGACCACACGTTTATAGATTATTTTTGAAAATACATGAATTGGAGCAAATCGTTGCAAGACGGATTTCTGTTGTTCAATAAGTCGGATTGTTTTTTCGAGTATAATTTACGAGACAGAAGGCTATTTTTGACTCAATTGAATTGCGATCTATCTAATAAAAAAAGGAGTTTTTTTGGGGGTGAGGGATGGGTTGTTAATAGGTTGGTTTGTTGGTTGATTGTAACTAAATATAAATAAGAAGATGTGGTATGACTGCCAATGAGACAACTCTCCATCCAAGTTACAATGTGTAAAAAGTTAACAATTATAGGTCAAAGTACGGCCTTCAACATGGAGCCTTGGATCACACCAAACAGCAAGCTATAAAGGTCCCCAAAATGACTAGTGTAAAACAATTCAAACAGGAAAACCAACCATCTATAAAAAAAACGATAAACGAGAAACACTTATGAACCACAACGACAACCACTGAATAACAGGTTCATGCTATACATGACAGCTGCAAATTGAAGTTATTATCCGGTAATTCGTTGATTTAAAAAAATTTTGGGATATTGACTCTAATAGAACATCCACTTTACCATTTCAATCAAAAATTTCCAGTTACGACAAGTCGCGTTAGTCGCGACAATCTTTTGAAAATATCTCTAACATTTTCTGAGGAGTAGCAATAACAAGTAAAAACTTCAAATTTATAACATGACCTTAACCTTTGACCTTGATCTCAATTTCCTAATTTTGGCCCGAATATAAGGTCCATAGGTCTTTACGATTAACGGTTAAAGAGTTACTGTAACACACAGATTTTTAAAATAAGAAAGGAAGGATAACTCCAATAAGATGTCACTTGATCGGGTTATTTCAATAAGTTTACATTTATCTGATGTACATAATTGCCAATCAGGTTATCATAAGTTATCGATCTGATATGATGAATGGGTCCTTATAAATAAAATATTTTACCTAAACTCTTTGTAACAACATCTCCATGCTGTAATACGTTATGTTGTATTCCTGACTGTCTAGCACCTAAACAAATAAATGTATTTGATTTAGCCTAATGTCGTAAGACACGTGCACACTTTAAATTTCAAGCAAAACAATTAAGGGAAATATTCATTTATGATTGATTTTTGCTTTGATGTGTTTACTGTTGTTGTTGCTGCACAAAATGTTGCCTTTCCTCGTCAGTTTTTATCTAGCGTCGTAACACAGTACATGATATATAAGGAATGAAGATGGAATTGTTACAGATCAGCTGAATTATCTATTGTAAAGGATCCTACAAATTAATGTAAGATGCAGTCACAGAAATAATTATATTATAAGTACGTCTGAACCAGTGACGACTCTACAACAGATTTTATCCATCGGACCACCAGCAGTGATGGTGATACAAGGCTGAAAATACATTCTGTATACATGTATATAATTCGTCAAAAGAGTGTAAGCACTGGTCCAGACGTACTTATAATATTATTATTTCTGTGACTGCATCTTACATTAAAACTGACGAGGAAAGGTAACACCCGGCCACCGAAAGCTTTAATATTTTAGAGCCTAGGTGGTCTAGTGGTCTAGCGCGTCGGGCACAGTGCAAGGCAATTTGGTGCCACGATATCTCAGTTGCATGAGTTTGAATCCAGGCCATGAAAGAACAAAAAAATTGCATCCGCAAATTTACAGATCTAATATTGTTGTGCTGCAGCTGGTTGTACGAACGTGTCATTAGTCTAATGAGCCATTAAGTCTTCATTAGCTTAATGCATCATAAAGGCTTAATGAAGAGAAGACTGAATGACCCATTATGCTAATGTCACGTTCGTACAACCGGCTGCTGTTCTTTGGACGAATTATACATACAGAATGTATTTTCATCCTTGTATCACCATCACTGTTGGTAATGCGATGGATAAAATCTGTTGTAGAGTCGTCACTGGTTCAGACATACTTATATATAGTAATAGTAATAGCGAAAATCCTTATCCATATATATATATGGATAGGGATTTTCGCTTTTACTATAGAATTTTTACAGTTGAAAATCCAGTCGCAAATGAACCAAAGTCACTGTTTTTCATTTATTTGTAGTTTACAATTACCATATGAATGATCTGCCATTATAAACGGTTTTGAACCTCTCCATGCAAAAGCAAATTGAAAATCTTCCGATCTACTTAGACTAGCTTGATGTTCATCGTAATAAATGAACAAAAATACTTGTGTTCCATCAAAATCCAGGAAAGTGCCCAATAACATTAACGGTAACAATTTTGCTGCACCTAATGCACATTTGGAAAATTAATGTCTCTCCAGTGATGCTTGTGGCCGAAATTTTTCTGAATCACTAAATGCATTTTCTTTTATATATATAACTTTGTGCTATTATACCTTAACACTTTCCTAGCTGCACAAGTTTGTCTGTACTTAGGGTAATGTTTGAGATGTAAACACAATTTATGTTTGTCCATTTGCCATGATGAACCTTAAATGAATCGTTTATTGTTAAGTGGCAAATATTTCATGCATATTTAGGACGAGAATAATTCAAATACGTTTTTTTTTAGTTCTGATTGAGATTAAACGGTAAAAAAATTAAGTGCATCTTGAATAAGATGGTACGTTGGAAAGATGAATAAAGTAAGCCTTACAAAAAAATAAAGTTGAACAAAAACCCATATCTTAAGGTAGAATAGGTTCACCTGCTGTACATCACATCAACAATGCCATCATTTTTGTCCTATCACAGAACAGGTCATCGACAACGCCGAAGTTGCCACCATTAGTTTAGCATCCTAAAGGCCATAGGTTATCTGATCGAAGCTAGACCGACTGTATCAGAAAAACCTGTAATATCGTATTGTCGTTCTTTAATATATTATTCTGTCCATTACTTGGGAAAATGTGGTAAACTGGCTTGACTACGTAGCATAAGATTTACAACAGTTACAACTCTGGACTTGAGTGCAACGATGTCATACTGTTCTGACTCTGTGATTTAAAGTTTAACATGGTATTATAACGGAAAGCTTCTAAAACTTTGAGACAATATAAAACCAAGAAGATGTGATATGATTGCCAATGAGACAACTCTTCATCAGGAGAAACTATAGGTTACCGTACGGCCATCAACCGACAATGAGTGAAACCCATACCACATAGCAAGCTATAAAAGACCCCGAAATGACAACTGTAAAACAATTCAAACGAGATAGCTAAGATTTGTGTACAAAACGATAAACGATTAGAAAAAATATTAATAAGTACAGCAACAAACGACGACAACTGAATTATAACTCCTGACTTGGGACTGACACATACAGAATATGGACGGGTTAAACATGTTTGATAACAAAATCAATATCTATACCGATAAAACAATAATCAAAGATGTTGCAGTGTTGAACTTGCAACCTTTCCAAATAAATTTATTCAAAGAATCGATGAGTTTACACGGATTGTATCTAAATTTACGGGCTCGATAAATAACATCATCGTAAAAATGAGGATGACTTGTGCTATCCCGTTTGTAATAAGTTTTCTACAGGTACAGCCAAACTTCTTAACCATTTTTTTTTATCCATGAAAGAATTTAGTAAAGATTTTTCAGTAATTTGTGGTGACGAAATCCTTGCCTGAATAATTTACAAGTAACACATAGATCCCAAAACGTCACTATAGACACGGACAAGGCGAACGAGTTGGGATATATAAACCATATATGGTACCAAAGGAACATCTCATTCCAAAAAAAAAAGAAAGAAAATTAACGATAAGGAACGAAAAATCTTCCCTTTTGTCAGAGAATTTCCCATGTTTCTTGGGCTAATCTGACGGAGAAAATCATCTCAGAAACACGTGTTGTGCTTGAAAAAATCTTAATAATATGATTATATTACTACCATTGGCTCGATCACGGAGGATAACATCCAGCAAGAAGCAATTTCAGTTTATAAATTATGTAATTATACTTAAGCAAAGATAGCAGATAAAATTTACTATGGATTCGGATTTGTCTGATCCTTTTCAGCCTATTTAGTGTTTGATCCTTTTCAGCCTATTTAGTGTTTATAAGCTGAGTCATTTTGTGACTTTGGTATCCCAAACGGGTCTAAGGAGGTTTGTTCTGTTCTATAAAAAATGTTTGTGCTCACTGAAGTCATACAGCTTGTAGTACAGTATTTTGTCTTAGAAATTATATTCCTGTCCCAAATAGAATCTCATTGCAGATACCAGGCTTATAATTCCAATACGTTTTGTCCAATCTGACTAAGACCATCTAGGGTTCATGTTGCTCAATCTTTAGTTTTTAATGTAGTGTTTTGTGGACTTGTTCGTTTTTTCGTCGTTTTTCGTTTGTTTGTCACGGCGTTGTCAGTTTTCTTCGATTTATGAGTTTTGAAAGTATTCTTTGTATATTCCACCTCTTCTTTCATGTCAGCAAAACTTATACAGCAGTACTGGCTATTTGTCTGGCGATATAAATGATTGCCATGAACAAATTTAAGCCGGCTTTAATCTCTACTTCCTTGCCCTTATCCAGTAGTTTGTACAACATTCCATTTTTGTCGTGTTCAATGTTGTCTACATCAATTTAAAGAAGCAAATTAAATGGCTGCCTCTTTGATTTTTGTGTAATGTTGCATTAAAAGAGAGCATGCATCGTGTTTCACTGACAATCATACCACATCTTCTTATTTTAATAAAGGAAGAACAGTATCTGTATAACTAAGCATGCTACATGTACCTTTCTTGCTTCCATATAGATATAGAAAATTAGATTTAAAGAACAAAATAAGTATACACTTTAGATGAATGAACTATGTTGCCTAAAAGTTCTATAACGTTTGCTTTAAAAATAACAACTGACGTAAACAGGTACCAAAAAATCGTAACATCATCTCAAATACACTTCTGATGAAATCATTTAACATTCTTGTTATTTCTATATACATCATGCAGTTTATTATTCATTTCGTCCCATATTCCTCAGATGTAAAATCCAGAGTAAATTTTTTCAAGCTCTTTTGTGTACCCTACTTAAGTCAATGTATCTGAACATTATGATTGGACAAAAAATACAGTATCAACTGAACATACTTTCCCAAACTGAGGGATGAATCAGGAGTAGAAAAATATGAAATAATTTTACATACAGATGAAATTGAATTTTTGAGAATTTTTTAAAATTTTGTATTCACTGCACGATAAAAGACCTAAAAGCACTAGTGGCCTTAGGTTCTTAAAGATAGCAAAAAAAGTAAACGGTCATGATACATATTCAAATTCATTTCTGAATAGTAAAATGAAAGTACTTCAGTTAACAGTGACTGTAGAATTTTTAGCAGTGTTAGAAAGTGGTGAAAATTCTAAAAAGGCTATCATTATCCCTTTTGGGCCAGGAAATACTACCGTGCCACCTTAAACAATGCACCATCCATGATACTTTTTTTAATGAGACCTGTTTAAAACATCGTAAATACTTCAAACAAAATATTTTTTTTACTTTAATTGAAGTTTCGAAAAAAGTGGATCATAATCTATCAAAGTTTCCATTAATCGCTTTCTAATTTTTCCCTCCTTCAGCTCGTTACTTATGACCTTTGTTTTTTTCCCTGTTGACCCAAACAGGAAGTTGTCTAAATGACTACTTTTTCCGGATTGGACTAAATAGTGATAAGGTGTATTGATAACGGGCGTTGTAAATTAGATTACTATTATTTTAAATTTCAAAATAAAATATCCTTAAACCCTGAGTTGACCAAACTGTTGGTAGCATGATATTAACTTTTGTCATAATCATTATTGATATCTTATATTACAACAAGTAAAACAAAAACAACAAATGTATTTAGTATGTTTGACTCGACCTCTCAAAGTGATGTAAAGACATGATTGCTATAAATATTCATTAAGGCAAATTCGGAATAAAAATCTTCGACAAAACGAATTATTTGAATTATTTTTTAACCATGTTAATGATTGTTTTAATCTTAGATAACTGATAAAGAGACTTGATAATCGATTCTTACCTGAAACTGAAATGCAAAACCATGCGATTAAAAGGAGACAAATAGCCTGCATCGTTAGGTTTCATGAGTTTTCACCATATAATCTTTTTTTTATTGTATTTTATCTCAAAAGTCCGAATCAAATCATGCTTGCGTAGTCTATATTTATATTTAATGTATAAAAGATGACAACTATGTTGTATCATGACAGCAAATGGACAGGCTGACAACCTCTTGATCGCCGGACATTACCCATAATAAAAATAATCATTTGTAACAAAAGTCGGATTGTTTTTGATTTACAGCGACAACCAACTGCACCATGTCTATCATTCTTAGCTTGTTCAAGTGAATTGATTTAGAATACAAAACAGTTTCTTGGATTAATTTGCACTTCTCATGAGTGCAAATTGGAACCACATTTTCTTTAACGGTAGAATCATCAAACTTGGCAATAATGTACCTCTGGGGATAGGTAAAACAATACAATTTTTTTTTCTGGTATAGCTCGCCTGGTTCGGCAATACGAGTGAAAACAGTGACAAAATCCTGTAGGATATTTTTTTCTCCCATGATAGGAATTTTACAAATCCTATAGGATAAAGTCATAATCACGTAGGATATTTTTAATATACTACAGGATATCAAAATCCTATGGGATTTATAATCCCTTAGGAGTATAAAAATATCCTACAGGATGTAGTTTCTCCCTTAGAACTAAAAATATCCCTTAGGAGAAAAAATGTCTCGCGGGATAAAAAAATCCTAAGGGATAAAAATAAATCCTAAGGGATAAAAAGAAGTTCTAAGGGAGGGCAAAATTCCTATGGGAGACTAAAGCAAATCATAAGGGAGAGAAATATCCTAAGGGAGAAAAAAAATCCTGTGAGAGAAAGAATTATCCTATGGGAGAAAAAAATCCTATGGGAGAAAAAAATCCTATGGGAGAACAAAATCCTATTTGAGAACAAAACCTAAGAAAATAGAATACTTTGTATATGTTCTGTTACTTAGTAAACGTATTATTTCATTTGACCATTTATTCCCAGATTTCATGGTTCAAGACCAATAACCAATAACACAAAATTCCCGATTACAGTACTCCAAGCCTGGAGCTGGCATGTCAGTTAGTGCTAGTAGTCCCCTGTTCGTTTATGTTTATTATTGTCATTTGCATATTTTCTTTTGTTACCTATTCTAACATCGGACTCGGACTTCTTTTTATTTTGAGTTTTACCCGTGTGTTGAGGGTAAGTATACCACCAGTTCGTAATTGAAAGTAAGGGCAAGTCGGAAATATGTGTCCGACAGATCTTAAAAGCAATCATACGTTTGCATTCATCTCTGTTGAGCTGCTATCCGAATAGGAGTTCACTGTTTTCTGTAGATTCTGAGAGATAATTATTTGTTGGACTATTAGACAGACAGACAGACAGACAGACAGACATACAAATGTACAAGAAGATTGTATATATCCCCCCGCGCCTGTAGTTGGGGTATAGTTATTTTTTACAGCCAAAAAGGTAGTTGTCTGGTGACACAAATACACATTAGAAAGTTAAGTTTAAACATTTTTAATATATAAATAAATTATCCTCTATAAAAACAAAATAGAACAGTCTTTTTTCATTATGGTTAATCAAAACTGACTTATGTCAATAAATAACAACTCCAGATTCCTAAAAATCGTCACATTTCTTTTTTTTCAGTTTCTTCAAAAATGTTGCATCTTTAACTAGTTCTCTGTACCCAGCTAATATATATTTGAAGCGAAAGCCTGTAAAATAAAGAAAGACCATAATTAAAGTTTAATGGAAAACAGCAAGTTAACATAATATTATAAGCTTTTCTTAGATATGAATAAGTGGTTTCTATAATCATGTAACGATGATCTCAATATTTTTTAACAATATTTGTTTTTGAATAAAAGTTAATTTGAATACAATGTGCAATAGTATTTTAGCATTTTTCAAATTTCATATAAAAAATACCGCCGAAACACTAGATTAGTGTAGGATTGATGCAAACATATAATTTATAAATACAATGTAGCAGATATAATAACAACTTGGTGATTTCTTATCAGAAGGAATCTATCTCTTTATAAACATAATTATAGGTTATGTGATAAAATGATTGCAGGACATTAGTTAAAGCAATATGTTTCAATATGGTTCCGTACATGAACCTGCATTGTTCTATGAAAACAATGATAGTAATTGTGTGAAGATGAGGAGGGAAGCCGTGGACGTAGGGTTTCGCTTTATTTTTGATTGATTAAAAAGTAGTAAATGTACTGTAAAACATGTGCAACATTGGCTCATTCTACAATTACACAAAAATGAGATATTTGAAAATCGAATATAAGATTTTTTTAAGTAGGTAGCATTCCATGAAGTTTTATTTTAGGTGGGCATGCATGAATAGTTTTGCCAGTTACTATATTTTTTCGATTTTGTCCACAATATGCATGAAGTATTTGCAACTGGACATTAACATTAACAACACTAAACTCATTAACAGATTTTCATAATATCCTAAAAATATAAACTAGATGCTCTAAAGAGCGTGTGTTATACACCTAGGTCTAAGTGAATCTCCAACAATGGATACGACAACATGTTTGACTAGAATATTATTCAGGACTAAAATGTCTTTTTTTTTTGTTAAAATTGTATTGCTGATCATTTTTTCTGTTTACAGTTTCTCTCTCCTATAGTTTTTGCCCAAAACACAAAAAAGTGCCAAAATCGTCATTTAAGGGTAATAACTCCTATAAGAAGACAACTGACAAGTTTATCTACATGTTAGCAGACCTATTTGCAGATCTTGTCTGATTTTTAAAGTTTTCATCTATCTATCATAGTCTTCAAAATAATAGGTAAAAACGGCGAAAAAAATGGTAAAAAAATCATCATTTAATGGTAATAACCCCAATATGTTTATCAACTGACGATTTCCGTAATTTGACTTATTTGTAGATCTTGTCTTACTGATCATTTTTGCTTTAAAAGTTTCTATCTTTATGTTATAGTTTTCAAGATAAAAAGCAAAAACGTAGAATAAATGGTAAAATCGTCTTTAAAAGACAATTACTCCAATTAGAAACCGACTGTCGTTTTCAGACATGCCAGACTTATTTGTATATTTTGTCTTGCTGGTCATTTTTGCTACATAAAGTTTATGTCTATCTACTATGATTTTCAAGATAAAAGGCAAACACGAAACAAATTTAAAAAATTTGTAATTTAAGGGCAGTAACTACTAAAGGAAGCCGTTTTTTTTTTAAATGTTAACAGAAAGAGTGTCGATAGCATCGTTCTGAACATTTTTGCCCCAGTCTAATTTTCTCTTATTTGGTTATGGTGGGGTCATCGGACACATTTTTTAAAACTGAATACCCGAATGATGATTGTGTCCAAGTTTAGTTGAATTTGGTCCACATGGTCCAGTAGTTTCAGAAAAGACAGTCATTGGACGACGACGACAGACGACGGACACCAGGTGACAGAGTGATCTGTCGACTACATGCATTTTTATACGACAGCAAAATTTTTGCGGACGTATATTGGTATCACGTCGTCGTCGTCCGAAGACATTTGGTTTCCGGACAATAACTTTAGTATAAGTAAATAGAAATCTATGAAATTTAAAGACAAGGTTTATTACCACAAAGGGAAGGTTGGGATTGATTTTGGGAGTTTTGGTTTTAACAGTTTAGAAATTAAGGGCCAAAAAGAGCCTTAATAAGCATTTTTCTAGTTTCCAGACAATAACTTGTGGAATGGTGTATAGATCTCTCTGAAATTATACCACAAGTTTCCATACCACAAAGGGATGGAAAGAATTGGCTTTGGGGGGTTACGGCTCAAACGGTTAAGGAATAAGGGGCAAAAAAAGGGGGAAAACAAGGGTTTCCATGTTAATGGACAAATACTTAAGTACAAAACATAATTTAAAAGCAGTGTAAGGGAGGTAATTCAAACAAATTTGAATTACCTCACTTACACCGCTTTTAAATTATGCATATTGGAAATTTGCCAATAACTTTTGTATTAATAAACTCCATAGGAAATATGCCAATAACTTTAGTATAATAAACTCCATTGGAAATTTGCCAATAACTTTAGTATAATTGGAAATTTGCCAATAACTTTAGTATAAGTAAATATAAATCTATGAAAATTAAACACAAGGTTTGAAACCACAAAAGGAAGGTTGGGATTGATTTTGGGGGTCCCTATGGGTTAGGAATTAGGGGCCAAGAAGGGGCCCAAATAAGCATTTATTCTAGTGTCCAGACAATAACTTGTGGAACAGTGTATAGAATTGTCTGAAATTGTACCACAAGTTTCTACACCACAAAAGGATGTTTAGGATTGGCTTTGGGGGTTATGGCTCAATCTGTTTAGGAATTAGGGGAAAAAAAGGGGGAAAAACAAGGGTTTCCTGGTTAATTGATAATTACTTTAGCTTTGTTTCTTTATGTTGGTACTTTTTGCTATTTGTTTGCTAGTTCTAGTATGAAATATGTTTTAGCTGTTTCTAGAAACATCAAATACTGTGATTTAAATACATTATACTATCATAATAGTGTATATCAAAGGGTTCAGTGGTAATAAATTTTTATACTCAGAATTGATTATTCTTTGTTTGGGTTTTTTTTGCATTAGAGTTACCTCCCTTACAATGGTTCCATACTACAAAGGAAAGACTGGGATTGGGTTTGATGGTTAATGCTCCAAGGGGGATTCGAAAAGTTTGGGGGGTTCCAATTTTTTTTAAGGGGTTCATATTTTTTCCCCAAATTTTTCGAATTTCTAATTTTTGAAAAGTTTCAAGAAGAAATCTTTAATTGCACAGTATTGCACATTAGATTTGTAAGATCTTTGAACACATTTTTTTTTGTGTCATAAACCTATTATATTATGTCAAAAATTTGATCACAATCCAAATTCAGATAGTATCAAGCTTTTATATTGTGTCCAAATTTGCCCCAACTGTTCAGGGTTCGACTTCTGCGGTCGTATCAGGCTGCGCTCAGCGAAGCATTTTATTAGGTTTGTATTCATAACACAGAATTATCTTTCGTGGTCTTACTTTAAACTTATATCTATGACAAAAAATAACTTACCATCTTTCAATACTGCAGTTACATCAGCATCACGCCATTTCTTGACATTTGAATAATATGCAGACAGCTTTTCTCATTTAGTAAAGACCTAAAATAAAGAATTCATTATAAATATTTTCACAGATATTGTTTAACTGATTAGTTTAGTAGTAATGTTAAAAGTAAACTTTGATATTAAAAATGATTAATTATTTTGTACTTGTGAAAGACATCAGAGAAGTTATGTTGTGTCTAAGTATTGTGTAACAAGCACACAGCTGATACCGTTCATACAATCCATGGATGTTGTATTATGTCTCAGTTCAGATAATAAGTACACGTAATTAATTATATCTCAATGAAAACTGTCTGTCTCTACATAGCACATCAATATTTGCGACCCATCTTGGACAATCAACCTGTAAATAAATAGTTTTTATAATTTTTTATTTGAAAAAAAACCTCTAGCAAACTTGACTGCAATGACCCAATGACTTAAACTTCTATCAAACCACCCGTGCATAAAATTCTACCCGTATACTTTTATATACCCTATCAAACAGACCTATCTATAAATACTTTAAACACGTGTACCTTAAAACACAACAAACTTGTATCGATATATGTACAATTTTGATAAATATGATTATGTTCTAATTCGTAAACTCAACCGAACATAAAACATTTATCAACAGAATACAGAACTCTCACATGGGAGTAACCACTTGAAAATGTCAAGTGCAATTTCGAAAAAAATACAAAGATCGGGCAAATGTATGATCAATTTATTATTATTAAATCCCTAAATTCAGAGATACAGATAATTGAGTAATAATGTTTTCCTTCACATATCCATCTTTAGCAGATTCGGATCTCCATATGCCATGTTTTTTAAACACTCTATCTGATATCCCGGGATTAGCCGCAGAGGATGTCCCTCCAGAACGAAGTGAATGTAATCCAAACCTTTTCTTATCCAATCCTATGGCTTCCAACTTCTCTAATAACAATTCCCTTGCTCTAGTGTAAGAAATGTGACCATCGCAACGTAATTTATAGATTTTCAATTTTTTGCAATATGTAATATGTCAAATTTTTTTTTTATCATTAAGATCTATTTTAGATAATGATATATAATGAGATAACATCTTCACTGGACATGTATTTTTTATTTGTTTTTGAAATAATAACATTGCTTCCTTTTCTGTATTTGTCTGTTTTGCTTTTTTTTTTTAAATCGACACATGAGTGGCATGAAATTGGACGTCACAGGAACGAATATTTACTAATTCAGAAAACCTCATAAAACCAGCATAACCAATCAAACACATTGTAACAATACGTATATCATACAGATTACTTAGCAATACGTATATCATACAGATTACTAGACACTCCGAATTTATGAACAAGTTTACTCTAGATTTAAGCTGTAATCAGTTCCTTCTTATTACTTGTACTTGAACGAGATAATTGCCTTTTGGCTCCTTCGGCTGCTTGTACAACAAGATCAGAAGTACACGGGTTAACGAATCCAGCAATTGTATGTGCAAAACCTACTGAATATATAACTTCGTCTATATTTGAAGCTAATGGCGAACGTAGATACAAGTATCTTGTCTTGGGGAGGGATAAATCCTACTTTGTTAAGAATCACTCTGATTCAAACAAAAATTTTCTGAAACTGACATTATCAAGATGCTTAATTTCTTGATTGACAAAATATTTGTTACGTTTGGAGGACGTGTTTTTCAACAGACTGTCGGAATTCCAATGGGAACCAATTGTGCCCCTCTTCTTGCCGACTTGTTTTTTTATTATTATGAGGCTGACTTCATACAGGAACTTTTTAGCAAGAAAGATAAGAAGCTAGCAATATCCTTTAACTTTACGTTCCGCTATATAGATGTTCTCTCATTAAATAATACAAAATTTGGTGACTATTTGGAACGAATCTATCCCATCGAACTAGAGATAAAGGATACTACAGATACAGTTAAGTTTGCCTCATATCTTGACTTACATCTAGAAATTGACAATGAGGGTCGGTTGAAAACAAAACATTACGACAAAAGAGATGATTTCAGCTTCCCAATTGTAAACTTTTCATTTCTATGTAGCAACATTCCAGCAGCGTCTGCATACGGAGTATATATCTCCCAATTGATACGATATTCCCGGGCTTGTATTTCCTATAATGATTTCCTTGATAGAGGATTGCTGCTCACCAGGAAGCTATTAAACCAAGAGTTCCAAATGGTGAAGTTGAAATCATCCCTTCGTAAATTTTACGGACGCCATCACGAGTTGGTTGACCGTTATGGAACAACCGTTTCACAGATGATATCGGATATGTTTCCTATGTCGTAACTACAATACCCTTCCCTTTTCACGAATGTGACCTACCGAATTAGACTATTTACCGGATTTGTAATAACATAAGCAACACGACGGGTGCCACATGTGGAGCACGATCTGCTTACCCTTCCGGAGCACCTGAGATCACCCCCAGTTTTTGGTGAGGTTCGTGTTGCTTAGTCTTTAATTTTCTATGTTGTGTTATCTGTACTATTATTTGTCTGTTTGTCTTTTTATTTTTGGCCATGGCGTTTTCAGTTTGTTTTCGATCTATGAGTTTGACTGTACCTCTTTTGGTATTCTAGACAGTCATGTTGTGAGGAAAATACCTTAACATAACCAACTGTGTTGAAGGCCGTACTTTGACCTATAATTGTTTACTTTTTGGATGGATAGTTGTCCTAATAGCACTCATACCACATCTATTTATTTATATATAAAAAAATAAAAAAGATTGTTTATTTTGCATTTTAATTGTCGAGCCTGCGAAATTTATTTCGCGAATGCGAGACATAGCGATTCCGTCGACGGCGTCGGCGTCGGCGTCGGCGGCGTCAACATTAGGTTCGGTCTGTGGTTAAAATTTTTTAAGACATCAATAACTGTGTCAATTCTTCATGTAATTTTATGAAATTTGGACAGCAGCTTGTTTATGACCAAAATACAGTATCCATAGTAAAATTTTGAAAATATTTTTTTCATTTTTCCATATTTTACTGATAAATGGACTTGGTATTTTTTACAGTTAACATTCAGATTCAGTCTGAGGTTAAAGTTTTTCAGTAATCAATAACTTTGTCAAACCTTCATGGAATTTTATGAAATTTGAACAGAAGCTTGTTAACATATAGTATCCAGAGCAAAATTTTGAAAATATTCATTTTCATTTTTCCTTTATTAATGATAAATGGATTTAGTTTATTTTAGAGTTAAGTAGTAGATACAGTCTGGGGTTAAAGTTTGTTACACATCAAATACTTTGTCAAACCTTCATAGAATTTTATGAAACTTTGGCAGAAGCTTTTTTATGATTACGAAATAATGTCTGCAAAGTTTTTAAAATATATTTTTATGTTCAGTATTTTTCTGATTGATGGACTAATGAGTTTTTTACAGTTAAAATTTAAAGACAGTCTGGGATTAAATTTGACATGAATCAGATAAGTTTGTAACCCTTCATGGATTGTTATGAAACTTGAACAGAAGCTAATCTTCAAGACCAAGAAATAGCATCTAAAGAAAAAGTTTGATTTCTTTTTTAATTCTGTATTTTACTGATAAATGAACTCACTTATTAAGTAAACATGGCATTGTTACACTGACAGCAGCAATCGTAGGGGAGACACAGGGTTCCCCAGAACCCCTTACGAATTTTTATTTTCAAAATTCAATCGATTGTTTCAATATTAAGTCACAATCCGTACAGCAAGTACAGTGCCTTTAAAATACTTTGAACCGAACAATGATTTCTTATTAGAACCATGAATATAATTGTCTTTAGTTTCCTTAAATTCAAGCATCTAAGCCACATAAGGTTGCCATAACAAATTATCCTGAAATTACAAAGGCCAAAATGGCGAATACTGCCATTTTGGTACCATAAGAGTACCGGAAGCCTTACACACTATACAATGTTTAATAAACCTACATTCTAAATGTATAGGGGGGACCAACCAATTGTTGTCCCCTTTCTAGTTTAATTGTTGAAGTGTTTTTTTTTTAACAATATTTGATTCGTTCGTGTATAAAGGTATAACAATACACCTTAAGTATCGCTATTTGTCTTCCATTACTAGACATCACAGAAGTTCCGTACAATTTTGATGTCACAAGAGAAAATGACTGACGCCACAAAAGAAAAGTGATTGTTGTATGACGTCAATAGATTAAGTTCAAGTGTCGCAAATTCTAAGATCAAGTGTCGCAGATCCCCAAATAGCGATAAGGTTCATCATCGAAAAGGCGAAAATGATCGTAGCATCATCTCAAATACATTTCTTAACCATGCCGACCATATACATCATTCTCAGCTTGTATTTTATTCAAGTGAGTTCATTTAGAATACTATTTTATTGTATAAATAAAATAAGGCCACGTAGCAAGTATATATTTGATTGAACAATGAAAATTAAGAAATATATGGTTGTAAAATTGGTGTTAATTTTAATCAGGTAATTTTTGACACTTATCAAGGGTCAAGTACAAATTAATCTCTAGATGTCATTTGATTTATCTGTGTCCCTGTGTTACCTTCCGATTGACTTATATCCCAAATACCCTTTTGATAAAATCATAGACTTCATATGTTTAAGTTTTTATTTGTTTACAATATTTGATAGCGCAAGCATATTTCATTACAGCAAAAAGGTCAGTATCGTGATATTAGCCGTTGTCATAATTACTTATTAATCTTTAAAAATATTAATTAAGTATTGAAAAATAAATGAGGAAATATGGCTAAACCGCGACTTTCAGGAAATAAAACTAAACTATCCTACAGGCATATTAATCAAAATGATATGTACATCTTTCTCGATATTAGAACGTGTATTGTAATAAAAATAGGAAGAAAAATCAAACACACAGGAACTGTTTAGCACATTTCATTTGTCACAATATTTAATCCACTACCATTGCATAGCTGTCAACTGACCCGTATTCTGCGGGTCACACCCGAGAAATTCCCCCTTCACACAGTATTTTTTTAAATATTCGCCGGGTATTCAAATAACCAGGGATTTCAGAAAATGACCTGTTTTTGTAACAGTGGTTTGATTCCGCCAGTGTTCTTT